TTCAAGCCCCCCCCTCCCTCCCCCCCCCCCCCCCCTCACCCTACCCTGTTTAAGAGTGGATTAGAAAAACATTGGCGGTGGCCCCCCTTTAAACAAAGTTATGCCACTGCATATAGATAATATTTTATGTGCTAATTGTTTAAAATATACATGAATAGCCCTTTCAACGTATATAAATCTGCCATAGGATAAGCTTATGAGTAATCGACTACAGAAAATATCAGTCTGGTATGATCCAAGCTACACAGGTGAATACTTAACGGTCTATTACACTTTGTATAGTAAATAGCACACCTGATGTCCGCGACTAATACAGGTATTCTCAGGTATGACAGTCACGTGACTCCTTTGATGACACCGCCATTTTGAAAATGTCCTACGGATGACAACAATGAAGCCAAAATGAACGGATTTTTAACGGTAAATTCCACCAAGGTGGGAATCCTGCTGACGGTTTTCCTGATAGTGGTGAATCAGGTGGCACCGATAATCTTTGATTCTACAGGAAAAGCTAGAACCTCTGTGACAACTGCCTATGGGGACGTCGAGGGCTTCGTCATACCTTCACAGTATTCACAGAAGCCCAATTTGTGGGTGAATATATTTTTGGGCATCCCTTACGCCCGTAGACCCGACCAGTATGAAGACTTCAAAAGAGATTTTAGATTCAAGGTAGGCCTTTGGTGAAGTTGCCAATTAATTTTGGCTCTATTCGTCACTTAAAGGGGCAGTATGTTACAAAAATGGATTTAAAGTATCCGTCCCCCTTTTATTTTTTATTAAAGGAGAACAGTCAGAATTTCAGGGGTTGATTTGAGTGTTGAATATATGTAAATGGTCTTCAGAAGTACTAGAAATGTACGAAAATCGCATAATTCCTTTAAAAATATCTCAAACTAGGAATTTTACTCACTATTTCTATAGATGTCTTTTCTATATATGACAGTGTCTCAAGAAAAGACGAGTCGTCATTTTAACTTTCAAACACAGATAATTCTAGACACACATGGATTTGAAGGCTCAAATTTCGACAGTGAGCTGTGAACACTATTACTGATTGGCTTAGCTGAAAAGAATTCCGTTTTCTGAGACTAAAGTATGATTGGTCGAAGGAATGGCAAACTGTTCCTTTAACAGATGAGCTATAAATCTTTGTACAATGTATTTCAGAAACCAGAAGATCCATCCTGGGCAGGAACCTGGGATGCCACATACTACAGACCGTCTTGTCCTCAACAGCTGTGGTATATCAGGGAAACTATACCAAACTACTTCAGCACCAATACCAGTGAGGATTGCCTCTATCTCAACATCTTCGCACCCAATGTAAGTATGTTCACTGATGCCTTGCAGTGTGCAATGAGGGAAATTTACTTTTTCCAACTGTTGAGGAGTCTTGGTTTATTGTCAATACACTTGGTTTACTTGACAAGATGTCGCGCGAAGCAGACCTTGCTCACTCTTTATCGAAACACCTGATGGTACTTCTCTTTGGAGGAGTCCAGAGTTGCAGTGACGATGCAAGCCCCCTGGCGCTAGGGGTACAAAAATGGGGTGGGCAACTTTTGAGTTAACATTGGAATGGCTGAGGGATCCCATGACAGTTGTGAATTGAAAAACAGAAGGAACAAGCTGCACACTGCATTGGGTTGTCTGGCATCATTATCCCAATCAAAGAAAGCTGAACTTTCCCTCATTGCATACAGTATGGCATTGAACCTCATAACCCTATCAGGTGTAGAAAAAATAGGGTGTAAAACTCCTTTATATTTGTAACTTTCAGATAATAAGTGAGACAGGAACATCCAATCCTAACCTGTATCCAGTATTAGTGTTCATACACGGAGGAGGCTGGATAATGGGCTCTTCAATCCAATATCCAGCCATGTTTCTGGCTGAACGTCAAGTTGTGGTAGTCACCATCAATTATAGACTGAATGCCCTAGGTAAGATTATCCTCTATTGAGAATCTTCCCAATCTTGTTAAAGGGATTGTAAAGAGGTTTTCTAAAAATCTAATGTATATCAGGGACACTGATATCATCAATTTGTACCATTCCAATTTTCAATCAGATGTCTGTGGTTCCTGCAATTCCGCTAAAACTAAGTGTTTGATGATGTCATTAATTATGCTTTATCACATAACACCCTTCGCAATTAATGACATCATCAAATACTTAGTTTTAGTGGAACTGCAAGAACCACAGACGTCTGATTGAAAATTGGAATGGTGTAAATTGATGCTATCAGTGTCCCTGATACACATAAATTTTTTTTTAAGAAAGCCTCTTTACAATCCAATTTTTGGATTTTGGACTTCTTTAGGTTACAATGTCTTCTTTGGAGAATCGTCCAATTTTGATTTTGTTCATGAGTCCAATTTCGGACTTCAAAAGTAGCTGTCCTGATGAGAGTTGTATATTCATAACAGATGTCAGCAACATGAGATGAGCTCTAGTCAATTAAATATAAGTCAAGAGTCTATCCAAGTTAACCCTTGATCAATGAGTTCAACCCTGTTTTCCAAAGCAGCTGTCCTGATGAGGATTGTGTATCTGAAACTTGGTTAATGGTTAGCAGCTAGAGATGGGCTCTTGCCCATAAGAACCTTGTTGATGCCCAAGTTTAGTTATAATACAACAAACCTTAAAAGCAGTGAAGAACTCCCTTTGTTCTATTTTTAGGCTTCCTGAGTACTGGAGATGTGAATGCACCAGGGAACTATGGCCTGTGGGACCAGTTGAAAGCTCTGGAGTTCATCAAGAGAAACATCAAATCCTTTCGAGGGAATCCTCAGAAGATCACCATCATGGGCCAGAGTACAGGGGCAGCTTCTGTAGGTCATCACATTGTCTCTCCCAGAAGTGTTGGTGAGTATATATATGAATAAAAATATTCGCTACTGTCCAATGAGTTCTCTTATTTTGCTAATAATCCTTAAATTGGGGACTGGCTGTAGCTCATCTGTAAGAGAGTTGGAATCTTTAAATGACATCATTTGCTTGGTTATATCGAACAAATGGTGGTTGTGGGTTTGCATCTGGGTTGGAGTATGAAAGTTTGTTGACTTTATTCATGTTGACCCAGCTGTAAATGGGAACAGATAATCTGGGAAAGATCAATACCAAGAGGTTTGATCAAGGACCAGCTGGGTAGACAGGATCCTCATTATTCCAGTCAACCCAGCTGTAAATGGGTAAAGATAAACTGGGAAAGATCAATGTCAAGAGGTTTGATCAAGGATCAGCTGGTAGAAAGGATCCTCATTGTTCCAGTCAACCCAGCTGTAAATGGGTAAAGATAAACTGGGAAAGATCAATGCCAAGAGGTTTGACCAAGGACAAGCTGGTAGAAAGGATCCTCATTATTTCATAAAATGTCACTTAGTTTTAGTGGAATTACAGGAATCACAGACGTCTGATTGAAAATTAGAATGATGTAAATTGATGCTATCAGTGTCCCTGATACACATAAAAAATTTAGAAAACCACTTTGGCACGAGTTCTCTTGGTCGACTATTTTATTATCTGCAATACAGACCCTCATCATCCAATCAGATTCGTTTTTCTTTCAATTGCACGCTATGCAAAACAACCAACTGGAAATTTTTTTCCTCCTCGGGTGCCTGCAAGACTTAAGTCCATGACAAAAATCAGTGACCAAGACTGTTGGTGTGCCCGCATCTTTAATGGCTTCCATATTTCAGATTTGTTTCAAAGAGCCATCATGTTGAGTGGATCAGATCTAAGTGAATGGTCAACTGTGAAGAAGGTTGACTCGATCAAATATGCCAAGGCTCTTGCTTACGAGATTGGGTGTCCGGTTGATGACATGGAGAGANCTG